TAGAGCCTCATACAAGTTTAGTGTGGGCTCACGATAGAGCCTCATACAAGTTTAGTGTGGGCTCACGATAGAGCCTCATTCAAGTTTAGTGTGGGCTCACGATAGAGCCTCATACAAGTTTAGTGTGGGTTCATGATAGAGCCTCATACAAGTTTAGTGTGGGCTCACGATAGAGCCTCAAACAAGATTAGTGTGGGTTCATGATAGAGCCTCATACAAGTTTAGTGTGGGTTCAAGATAGAGCCTCAAACAAGTTTAGTGTGGGCTCATGATAGAGCCTCATACAAGTTTAGTGTGGGCTCACGATAGAGCCTCATACAACCTTAGGTGTCATCTTGCTTTGATTTAACCTTGAGAAGATACTTTCGTGTAGTAAGTTCACAAATTTTCACCACTCTTTCCTCGTCGTTTCGGTAGTGATTTGTCATGTGTTCGTGTCTGTTGAAGAGAGCGTGTGTACTCTCCCCACCCTGCTCGTTCCAAGATCCACTGAACATACCCCACAACTGTATCTGTTCAACAAAGTGGTCAGGTCCAAAATGTGGACCTATCAAAAACAAGTGATTAATATCATGAATGGTTCCAATTATTATTTAATTATGAATTAAAATTAAGCCATTGATTAGATACGGGAAATTAAAACAACTTTGATTTTCTGCTTTGACAGAGGTAGTCTTGGATAACTGCCGGTATTCTAGCAAAAACTTGTCCCTTGCATTCTTTAAGGATACGATTTGACTGGCATTTTCAACCTTAGCATTCTTCCCTCCAGAGAGAAGCACATCTTTGAACGCCAACCTCATTCGGTCGAGGGCCAACAAGCGAGGTTGGAATTTCTGCTTGTCTAGCGGATTTATCAGTCTGAATAATTGTGAATATGAAACTGTTGTCATATATATGTAGCATGATGTTTCAGATGGGCACAATTATACCTAGTGATGTGAGTTTTTGAATGATTCTATTTGATTACCTGCTTTTATAGAAGTTTTCCAGCCAAAATGGTCCATGGTTAGCTTTAACGAAATATCCTGAGCGTACACCCGTTAGTGAAACCCCGTGATAAGCTTCAGGAATCACTTTAATGCTCCTCATAAACTGGTCATACTTTGAGCAAAGGGGCCCACTGTTTGACTTTTTAGTTATCACTTCCCCTTGCTCAATTTGGTGTATCATTGAACCAAAGTCTGTTGTACTGCTGTAAGTGTTGGGTATGGCCCCATTAGCCACATTACAAGCATAAACAAAGTCCACATCTTCACAGAGCGTGGTGTAAGCTTTCCATATGTATGTTCCAACCTTTATAGTCTGCAGAATACATTATTTTCTCAGATACCTTACAGTTTGAGGCATTGATTTTGAAATCTCCATATAATAGTAAAAGTGTGTAAGAAAAAGAAATGTGATAGTTCACTAAAAATTTCATCTTACAATGTGTAGGAATGGAACTGTGACCCATGATAATAAGTCTTTATTCTCCTCTCCATAACAGACAGTGAGGGGTCGTGAGGCGACATTCATGAACTGGGCCTGATGTTTCCTGTTACACTGTGTCTTCCTGATAAATTAAGTTGTAACATTAATGTTGATCAAACAGTAAATATTACACATCCATAATATACCATGAAACAATTACCCAACTTGACTACTGCATCTACCTCATGTTGTCGTTGAAATTTTCTGTTATTCCTGCAAATGTTCTTGTTTTGCTTGGAACTCGCTGCTTCCTTGGAATATGCATGCAATCTTTGTTAATCTCGCAGAATGGGCATGGGTAAGTCCCGTTGGAGCCCATACCCAATACTGTCCAAAGTGCTTTTGTGTCTGCACACAGCATCAGCTGGATCCGGCATCCATTGAAGTGGAAATCCTTCAGCAGTGGGATTTCATTAACCTACAGTTTATTACCTTGCACTCTAAGCTGTGCAGGGATTCTGTCTGGACAGCCACATCAGCGGTGATTCCTCCTGTCCTTTTAGCCTTGCCAAGTCTATGCTTGCGGTCAGCCCTCATTTTCTTATACCTCAGACCCACTTCCCGCACCATGTCCTCCGTAACTGCTGACCCTGAAAAGGAATATAAATCAAGTTTCTGTGTTACAAACCACTATTATCCTAGTTTCAAGAGCTTATTTTATGAAACAATATCACTTATGTACATCATGTGCGACTTAATCATTCTATGCATGGCATGGATTAATCTGGTTTAGATTGATTGTAACCCAGATGGATTGTAGTTCAATTATTAACTGAAATGGTACACCGCTAGTTTCTGCTAGCTTCCGCCAGGTATTCGCTGGCTTCCGCTAGGTAATAATGCTGCGTGGCGAATTTGCGTGCAATATGTGTCCGCTAGCTTCCGTAATTAAATCTGCTAAATCGGCTATATACGGACCCATGATATCTTACCTTCTATATGGCAGAACCTGCCGACAGCCTCCCGTATCTCCTTATCATTTACCAGTGATGGGTTCCGCCCCCTAAACTTCCTAGATAGAACATTATTACTACAAGCATTAATCAGTTATCTTACACTGAATAAACAATCGCACAGTTTAAGCCCAAAGGTAACTGTATATTTTAGCAATATACTAACTTAAGAATACATACAATATTTTTAATGAAATAGCAGTTAACTCACTCCCATTGCTGCTTCCTCTCCCCGAGCGGTTTCAGCTGCCGGGTCACAGTTAGCCCCGCAAACATTCTCATTCTTTGTGACATGCCTACACTTTATTAGTTTAGAGATTCCCATAATATTACGTAAGGGGTCGTTCACATATTATTACGTAATCCATTTTCGGAACATTTTTACACCCCCCCCCCCCCCCCCTCCGTAATCAGTTTTACACAAGCTATTGTGTCAAAATTACACTAGCGTAATCATTTGGATACCCCCCCCCCCCCCCCCCTCAGCTGATGACGTAATATGTGAACGACCCCTAATCAATTTCAAATAAGCAGAGAATTAAGCAGAGAATGTATGACAAATGGTATTATCCACTATTTGTATCTATGAAACATGCATGCAGCCTGCTTGTAGTTGTTGTAGATAGCAAAATATAAATGACGTCACAGCAGGAACATAACAACGTTACAAAATGCTAAATTGAAATAATGGCGGTATTGGGAGTCTAGAGCTGCATTATAGCGTGCATTATAGGCACGTAAATGCGCGGCACTACATTATAAAACAATAAAATCACGTTAAAAAAACTTTGAAATATTGGTATCAATTAGAAAACGTGTAAATTATTTTAACAAATTTTATCGTCCAATTATCATGTTATCGGTGTCTGATTGCGCGGTAATTGTCATATTTGCGATTATCATTTGATATAAACGATTATCGCGCGCGACGAATATCGTCAGTATAACAGTAAACGCGCGTTTACCAATTTATCGTCGATTATTATTTTATGCACGAATAGAATCTACAAATTTTCCACCGTGATACTCGCGCAATTATTATTTTGAAATCCATAATATTTTATCATGCAGATCGATACTGTACCTGTAATTTTTTTCGTCGTTAACGGTTAAATTATTAAAAATGTTTTTATTGATAAACTCTAATCCTGAAGAATTATTCGTCAATGGCACCTCCAAATCTTCTGTTTATCAAAATAATATTTCTTAGATATAGCGGGCAGCGGCAGTTTGTACAAAACATTTCAGCCGGACCCTCATAGAAAATGTGCATTTCGTATCACTTTGTTCCTCATTATAGCTAGTTAACTAATTACTCAATAATTTTAAGATTCGCCAGATGATCATACACTCAAGTTCGCACACTTAGAAATTCTCGGACAACGGACCCTCCAAATTTAAGATATCACTTTCTTTTTAATGTTGACCAATTAGTTAAAGCTTATCTGAAATTTATTTCAGTACATTATTGGTTCTCTCTGTAATTCAGTTTCAATGGGAATAGTTTGGATTTGTACAGAGGTATAGCTAAACATTGAGAAAATTGATTTCTGACGGTGGTTTAAATAAACTAGTCATCTGCTAAAGCGAATTTCTATGATGTTGTGATATATATGTACTGTGTGCTGAAGTGATCTACGAATTATGCTATTGCTTTCCTCAATAAAGAGCTAAAAATCTGATCAAGGGTTAATTTAGGTCAGCCATTTAAAGAATTTCAATTAAAAATAGTAGTACCGCTCGCAACCATCGTAGCGATGTGAAGTACACTTTCCATCCTGACTCTGTCGAATATATATTTCTAGAGTGAGTCAAAAATTAGATCCGTTATTCATCGATTATAGAAATAGTGAAGAAATTTTGCGTCGATAGGCACATAAAAGGTTTTGGAGATATAGAAACGAGATAACAGATATAAGGAATATGGGATAAGAAGTTTTATATCGTAACTAACAAACTGCCCCTGACTCACTTAGATAACAGTTGTTTGATAAGGGAGATAAGCTGTGCATGTAAGCAGGGTGTAATTGTCTATCCTCTTAATCACTTGATCTCATGATTACTATACATTGATTTTAAACGTTCTTATAATCGTTGATACGTGAAGGTGATTTTCCCCTGTTGCTGAGACGTATGTAGTTATCACGCAACTTTGTGGTGTACCACAATGTTAATGCGGTACGATTGTAGGTCTTAGCAATAAGTGGAAGTATCACAGTGATCATTATATATACTTATCGATTGTTACACTTCAAGTATTCTATCAGTGGCAAATTTTGGTCCAATCAAATTCGGTATTTGATGACTTTGTGTGTGATAAGAGAATTTTGATATTATAGTTTTTCTAAATATGACTGCACCGAAGTGACCAAAGTTTGCCACTGGATGGCTATTTTTATATTAACATGCTTTCGTGAATTTAATGGCATCTAGATAGACTAGAAGTTTCTTCATTAGAAACTATAAATAGTTTCTAACGAAGAAAGTTATAAGATACACCCCCTGTATAATTTGTTGAAATTATATTATATAATGTCAACAAATTATGTATCTAATAATTTTTATAATTTTCAGTTATCGAAAGAAATAGCGAGGATGGTCTTCACGTCCTTCATAGCTCAGCACAACTTTAAACTTGGTCGACGACTTTCGCCATTTAAAACGTTGGTACCACAGTAAGAAAACAGCTGAAACTGCATGAGTTTATTATTACCTGCAAGAGTATTTTGTTACCTGCAAGAGTCTTTGATTTCCAAAATTTTGCTATTTACGAATATAGTGATCACTCTTTCACTGTTTTTCTTAAAACGTGTTGCTAAAATGGCCGTCCTGTTGTTTTGCAAGATTCAACTCAACATTATAATCGAAACAAAAGGGACAAGGGTGTGCCCCGATTTTTCAATTAAATTTTAACATGTCATTGTGAACATTCCCAACATTCCACTGCCCAGGTATGGAGAGAAGCGGTCTATACGGAGCAAATCTTCACGTGTAAGTGAAAAGTAAAAATTGTAGGCTTTTTCGTCAAAAAAAAATCTTGATTAGATTAAAAAAACAATTTTGATGTGCTGTTGTTTTAAAAGTTGGGATATTCACCTAATTCGTCATTTATTTCATTGCTCTAACGTGTTTCATTTTCAGGAGGAAGTTGATTCACGTAAGTCTTCGTCATTCTATATTTTTTACTCTGGTACTACTTTTTTTGGGAGGGGCCAGGGTTTTAAATAATTTTAAGACAATTCTCCGCCAAAACTCGTTAAAATTTCACTGAAAATGTTGATGATTCCATTGTGTTATTAATGCAAAGTTATTGGATAAATCTCGCATACAAACTTTATGTCAGAATTAAGGATTAAAACGGAAAAATTAAAATTTTCAAAATGTTAAAGGCTTGTTAATCGTTGTCAGCAATCCAAAGAGTTGGTTAATTTCCTCCCACAAATCACACGGGCTTGGTTTTGTCTCCATCACTCTTAAGAATTAGGCTCGGTTCCTCGCGGCCACCTCACAACCGCATACCGATTGTCTACCCACTCTCAAGCTTCTGTTCCTCATTGCCTGCTTCCTAACTTCTACAACCAATCAAAACCCTCCATTCTACATCCCCACCAATCACAACCGCTCCAGCGACCACGTGACAGTTGGGCGACCAGGGCTCGACTTGGTTTCTCAGCTGATCAGATTATTAAAGGTTACTGGTGATGTCTCCTTCAGTCTCTTGTCGGGAACTCTGCACGATAATAGACGTGATGGTTCGCCGTGTGTATGTGTGTGCTTATTAAATCCTTAATCTTAACACTTATCTTCTAGTTTTGCTTCGTCTGTTTGGTGATCTGTCTTCTTTTAATAGTTTATAATACTTAATGTCTAGATTGGTATATTTTTTGCACTGAGCACGAGTTGGCGCCACATTACTATATACCACGTGGCTGACATGATGTATTGTAACGAACTGATAAGTGTAGCTAATTCGATCAACTTGTCATCAGTACGTGTTGGGTTTTGTTAACTTAATCTTAGAGATTACAGAAACATTAACGTCTTTATTTCCATTCATTCAAGTTAGGTGTCGATTTTTTGTGGTCATTTTATTGTACGGCTAACAGTATGGTAGGTTAAAGTGGTTAAAGCGGTTAAATCGTTGTTAAAGATCATTATAGCAGCTGATTTAGCACGTCAATGCAGGTCTCGTGAGCTGTTTTACGAATTACAAATGATCGGGAATAAATGTAGAACGTGGAATGCTTTCAACATATTATTTGCACTCAGTAATGATTCAGAAAGTGCGAGCATCGATCGCTGAAAGCTCCAAAGTGCCACGTTGTTTGATGAAACATTGGTTACATATAAAATCATGCTTGTCAATTATTCACGTTTTGTTTTGATCTGCATGAATCGGATGTTTATAAAATTTACTTAAAAGTGTTTAATCCTTGTGGTCCAAGTTCTCCAGTATGAATGGGATGTGTGTTTTAACTAGAAAACCATCCCACTGTTCAGCTTGGGAGTAAAACTCCGCTAACTGATCATTATTCAAATCATCTCCTTGACATCCATCCACATTTTAATTGCTTCACGGCTTTCGTCCGTTTTTAGTACTAGCATTATTGTTGCAATTATCATGAAAGGGCTGATATTTCCCATCTTCGTTCCCTTCCGACGCCCTTCCGACGCCTGCTCTTCCAGCTCTCTCTGTTAGACTCAGTATGATTGGTTATTGAACCATAACAACTTTTAATACTAATAAGCTCAAAGCTCAAAGGATTGATCACTGAACAATGAGTCTTGTAGTTGATAATGTGAAGCTTTTGTCTTTGAAATCATTTCACTGACTAACAGGACTGGGTGCTCCCTCAATTCTTTATGTCGTAAGCCTCTAAGCGTATTCTGAGAAGTCACTTGCTAATTAATCAGGCTGGAGTTATGTTAGCCCACGTGATTTTCAAACGTTTTGATTGGCTGGCTCTGTCGACATCGTCTCGTGATTGGTAGGTTTTAATGAGGATCCTGACTGCACGTGGAGCACAGGCTTGTCCAGCTATGTATGATCGGACCTATCAAACTAGAAATTTCCCTGCACTCATATCGAGCATTATTTTTGGAATCTTAATAGACCAGGCATCCAACTGACCTATCATTTTATAATGTAGTGTACTAGTCGTAGTTTGACTTTTATTTTTATCATTTATTTATGTTGATGGCGTCCTAGATTTTGACGGATTTTGGATGGTACTTGAGAAATATGACAAGGTCAATCTGTTGAGAATGAGGTTTTAAGTAAACTGAAATCAACAAACCACGACCAGATAGCCGTAAACATTATGTACCATTACCTGTTTCTGTATAAAGTCTGGAAAAGCTGGTGTATACTCGACTTTCCTGAGGGTGCGAAGCGAACTAGGAGGGAAAATCAAATTATAGAAACCTACTTTTCCCAATGTACAGATATACAGAAACAGAAACAACTGGCAAGCGCATCTTGTTTACGGTTGACATACACTATCGTCTTTCACACCCATATTCGCACATAAGTTTCGCACCCAAAGTGGGATATAATGTTCCGCTAAAGAGGGGGTGAAATGCAGTGGACATTTCCTCTGCTCGCATCAATTTGAATACGGATATGTACTGCTTCCTCAACATCGCTATTTTCCCCGTTATTTTTTACTTTGGAGCTGGGCTATCCGTGCGTTGACACATTACGTCCCGGATGCACAATAAATTTTCTAATATACATAAATTTACTGTTGTTTAGTATTTTAGACGTTATTGTGCTAGAAAATGGACCAGGTTTTTTTACTAGTCGAAAATGTTGATGACGTCCCCTTGTCGCCATCATTTTATTGCGTCAACGCAGTCTAGAAGAATCGTGGAGCGTCCTTATTATTGCGAAAATGTTGTCCCTCTTCCCGGGGCAATTATTCTCATTTTTATCTGATGGTTTGTAGTTTTGGGTCACGTTGTCCCCGGTTGTCCTGTACCAATAGGTTAAGTTGTGCCCCATATTTGTGAACTTGTATACTGTACTAGAGCTAGAGCACTGACCTTAATCCTTACCCGGTAATATTGTATAACCCCTCTTCGACCGTAACCTAAATCATTAATCAACCACTTGCACTTGCACTATGACTAAGCCCATATCTAACAGAAGTTACTGGAGCAGATCGACCGTCACCATAATTTCATGCTGCTGCTCGCTGCGTATCTGCGACCATCTTGATCCGTATAATCTGCGTAACAAATCAGGAAGCTTCGTTCTGTTTAATCATTTAATCGCATAATTACCAAAATTAGTTATACATAATCCATAATAACTAGCCAGACATAATCTGTTTTATGAGTGCCACTCCGTCTCGCACAATAGTTCAACTCGCACAATTGTTGCCACTAAATCAGAATACCCATGAGATGTAGGCGCTGTATCCCTTGCTCAGCTCTCTCGGCTGCTGTCCAGGGTCCTGGCGGTGCTCTTTATAGGTTAGGGCTCATATCAGTAGTAGTCATATCAGTAGTAGTCATATCATTAGTTACAAACACTCAAACTAGCCCCGCTTTAGACTTATTATGCTGATAAATCATTTTATTTAACACATAATTATTGTACGGGATGATGTGCGACGAATCTCTCCTCACGGCAATAATTACACAAATTACCACCAACATCGGGTATTTTAACCCATTAAATAATTAGCTAATTGTCCGAAGAAAAGGATGGTCTCGTGGATCCGATATGACGAGCAGATTTACACGATCACAAATTCTTTTCATGCAGCTCTGACTATTCTGCTGACTGCTCATAAGTTTACAGCTTGTCCTGGCTGATGATGTTTATTATTCACTGGTATTGGTGCAACGTTTTGCGATTGTCGCAGTATTGATACATATTACATATGATACGTGATAGAATATCGTTAGTTATTTTTCGTTCAGATAATGCAATATTTCGACTCTTATTAGTAACCTGTATTATATTTAGCCGAAAGTTTAGGTTGGAATTCGCACAAAAATTTGTTGGTATTCGCACAAAATATTCGTCGGTGTTGACAATTTGTCTAACAGCAAAGCATCACAGTGCAATCTTGTGGTCCTCGTAGTCGTATATTATAATGCTAATTACATTGTCTATCTTGTGTTGTAGATTACCTCCTGGCTAATTTGACCTGATATATTAGACAAACCTTTCTGACGAAATAGATCACATCTTCGAGGACTTAGGTCCGTGCATGATTGAGACTAAAGAAATATCTACTGATTTATGTGAAGTTTTGTGCTGTTTGCTGCTCCATTCGGCTAAAAGTAAAGAAATCTTTGAGGTGGTCAATTTCAGAAAATTAATCATCGCAAAGAATTCGTACATATCATTAAATTGTGCTTCTCAAAGCGACAATAAACGCTAGGCGTTCAAATTTTCTAAAAATCGACCGTAATGAGTTAATGACCAATGCGCTCTTGCGAGTCATTTCCATGACAACAGATTGCGAACCAGCATCTCATCTACTTCTTCAGTTATAAGGACTGAATATGTAAGGAACCAGCATCTCATCTACTTCTACAGTTATAAGGACTGAATATGTAAGGAACCAGCATCTCATCTACTTCTACAGTTATAAGGACTGAATATGTAAGGAACCAGCATCTCATCTACTTCTACAGTTATAAGGACTGAATATGTAAGGAATACCACATTTGCACGATAGGTAGGACTTCATTCGTCAGAAATACCATTATATCTATATATTATATATTCTATATTATTAAGATATGCAGGTAGTTTATTCTGTTTTGCAGAGTGCTCTAACTTATGAAAGCGAGCTTAATGAAGGTTGTTCAGGTATAGTTTGTAGGTTTACAAACTGCCGAGCTGCGTCTCGTTCCCGTGAACCCAATATTTACGGATATCATCCGTAAAGGTTTAGTTCATTATCATGTTAGTTAGCTTGTCACTGATGAACTATCAATTGCGATTCTTTTAGGTGTTCAAAATGTCGTTTGAACTGTGCGTATCGTGCACGATATGTAGTTCTTTGTGGTTGTACTTGTACAGTCGTGGTCGTGGTTGTTAGTTCTGGTCGTTTTGAACTAGACATATTCTGAATCAAAATGGAAATGAAGGCAGAAGAGAAAATATGACATCTGGCCCGGTGTCAATTCTAGATAACAGACACGAGGGTTACTGCTGGCCTGGTGCCAATTCTGGACAACAGACACGAGGGTTAAACTTGATAGCTGTCACTCTGTCTCCCAAAGCGTGCGCTACTCTGTGGTTATGGAAGAGTTGACTCATCTCTAAAACTGTCTTTTCAGTCATTTAACTTGCACAATTCATGAACGTTTTGAATAATATATAATATATTGCAATAATATATGGCTAGTGCATCGTGCGCTCAGAACTTTGCATAAAAGCAAGGGTCGTGATTGCTTCCAAATCGTTTTACATTCGGTCTCCATACCCACTACCCAGTCATATGCTGCACGGGCTGCACTGCATGGCAGTACTATCTACCCACTACTCGGTATCATGTATTACTCATACTTATTACATATTAAATCGCTTTCTAATGAACTAGGAAATAGATACACCTAAATGTTTCAGACAAAATTGCCCGTAATTCTGTCCAGTTCGCTCTTCCACCCATTAGATCCGATCTGGAGCTACTGTTAACTGCAGCCAGTATTCTGAGCGCTGCTCTGTACATCAAACAAGTCGTTGTTTCAGTTTAATTAATGAGCTCCAAGGTCGGATTCTGGAGACAGTGAACTGTTGTTTCCGTATGAACATGGCCTCTATAGTCTATTTCCTTATTTGTTGTATGCGTTTATGAGTTTTAATGAAACATATTGCAGCTGTTAAATGTATATTGTACAGTTTAGTGCTTGCTTTAATTATGTCTGGTTACCCGGGCGTAACCGTGTCCTTCTTTAATTGAAATTGCACAAAACACGAGAAAATGTAAATCTAACATTCTTTGCTAGTTTCGAATCCGGTGGTAGATACTCAACACATAATCGTCATATATACAAATTTCCGCAATAAAGCCACTACGGTACGTGTTGTAATCGCTTATATTAAACAATTTTCGTTTATATTGCCGCCGATAATTTGTTACAATCTTACATCATGTCAATAACTTTGCTTTTCTTTAGTGCCCTTTGCAAGCGGAGTAAATTCACGTTTATTACCAATCTCTATGTTTGGCGCCCTGATTCTCTGAGAGCCAATTATGTATATTCTTTTTTTTGTTGTTGATTGAATTATTTACTTATGATTAATGTTAACCCCGTTTATTTATCTACATTTGCCAGGGCGGCTACACACCGCTAATGAATTCCTTAATCGGTCCATTACAGGGATTTCACCGCCTAAACAAATCAATTTGTGAGAGTTAATTTATCGCCTTTTTGTTGCTTTAATCCTTTAACGTTTCCAGACTACAGAGTGATGATGTTTATTTAATATGTTACCACAATTACGTACCGCTATATCATATATATTCTAGAAGTAGAATAAAACGATTTTGAGCTTTTTAAATTAAACTCTTTAGTAGTTTTGTCCTGTTCACTGTTTAGAATAGATCATAAAGCATTCTTTGGGAAGCACACCTAGGAATCAAAGACCGTTTGCTTCTTTCTTGGTCAGAAATAGTGCTATTTTTCATAACGACGGTCTTTGCCTTTGTCGATGCGCGCATTTTCGTAAGCAGTCGTAATTCAACGTTTTATCATTATCAAGTCGTTTATTTTCTGTAATATCTATCATTTATAAAGATTTTAACAGGATCATCTTTACTTTCTTTATAATAATTTCTTAACTTTATACTTTATTTTACTTATTTGTTGTTTTCTTGAGAGAAGGGTTTGAATGGACTACAGATGCTGGGAAGTAACGCACTCCAGATTCCACAACCATCACAAACATCTCAAATATTTTTACACTCAGCCATACGACCCTCAGAATAAGTCACGTAAGTGGAGATTACGCTTTATTTGCTATGGAGCATAATATAATATCTGCAGGCATAATATATATAATTCATGTGCTATTACTCCTTCAATCATAGCAGGCCAAATTATTGTACTAAAGATTTAGTACTTAGTCGCAAAATAACAAAAACTTTGTTCGACTTTCAGTTTCAGTCAAAATTTTATACGACTACTTTTAGAGACAATTTTTCAGTCACTATATTATAATTCCAATCTTTAGTGAAAAGCTATGTAAGTTAGAAATATTTGCACTTCGTTCTTTTTACAACAACTAACCAGCAGTTAATCCTCAAAGTTAATCCCCCACGCCCTTGATATCACAGTAAATACTAATCTACTTATTTGGACTACTTAGACTACTTAAGTATGCCTCCTCCTATTCGCTGATACGTTCTAACTCTTTCTAGTTTCTAGAGTATAGTATTTCATAATTCACATTCATAGCGTAATTGTGCGCGATCACATTCTAATTTCTGGCATGTAACGGATTTTCTTGGAAATAAAATATGCGTTTCTGCAAAGTCTCATTACTGCAACTTTCTGACTTCTGAGCCTAGTGGAGAGAATAACCAGAAACTTTTCTGTAGACTGAATAATTTTTGAAACCATTTTTGGGAGCTAGGTCAAGGTGCCTCTCTCCTTTTTACCAATATCCACTGGAGAATCGTGTTTATCATTTTCGGAAGGGATGTTAATGGTATAGCCTATAGACTTAATTTTAACAAAAATTGAGCCGGATGTGCCATAGGTAAATTTTAAAAATAAATTTCGTCTCAGATGCAGAACTTGCATTTCTCATATATTTCTAGTGTAGTAATATACATTTTATTTAGTTTTACATCATACTATTTGTATCTAGTTCGTGATAATATCTACTTATTGAACCCAACAACTTACTCACTCTAAACCCCAGGTGCGAGCAGTATCTCAGCAACCCCTCCCAGTAAACGAACCCTCCTAACAGCTAATGGATCTCCATCTAAAACAGACCTTGTAAGTTCTCACATTACATTTGTTGGTTATTGGCACCAGGCTCGCGCGCGTTTTGACTAACAAAACACAATCATCGCAACAGTAATTATCATAACTTAAATCACCATTATCATTATATTATTCTAATTTTGATGTTCTACCATATGTATATGTGGTTAGAGTCTTCGTGTCACTTCTCGTAAAGCAGCTAGATATCAGTCCCACCACAATAGGTCAATAAAATTAAAGGAAATTATGTAAAGAGCCCCCTGTAGAGAGGTCACGATAAACACTGCTCATAAATAGGGATCTCACAAGAGCACCAATGATTAAGGGCCAAGGGGTCAGGGTTGTGAGACTCAAACAATTGATGGTTATGCTAGTCCCATGATCACATAAGCCTGTCAGGTTCTTAATTTCTGGAAAAATGAATTTCCATTGACTTGAAAACTACAAGGGCCTGAATTCTTAAGGTTAAAACCGTTATAGGAGAAGTCAACATTGGATCTATCAATAAATTGCTGTTGCTCTATTACAAATTCAACGTCAAAACTAAACGTCCCAACTTCCATGACTAACATTATGAAGTGTCAATACAGACTGTTAATAATAACTTATATTTCAGAGGAACCACCTGCTTAAGATGTTGACACAACCAGAAGAGATCAGAATGGAATATCTTGGTATTGACAAGACTAAACCAGATGGTACCCACATTGTAGCTAACTTACCAGAAAATAAACCTACTAATAGGTGTGTAAACGGTTGTTTTCAATTTCATGATTTTGGGCCAGTTTTTATAAAAAATGTGGACACAATTTTATTATATATGAAGCAGACATGCGATGTATACTTTACCATCATTGAATGTTATGATATAGCTACTTGAAGTTGAAAGCCTACTAAATGTCCAATATTTCCAGGTTTAGAGATATTATCCCGTATGATGACACTAGGGTCCATCTACACAGCAAAAGAGGAGACTATATCAACGCCAGCCATGTTAATGTAAGTCTTATATATAGTAAACTTGCTCAGTTTGCGCCTGATTAAACCAATAAGTCACATAAATAACAGCTCGTCACTTGTGAGTCCTACTATGTTTATTACTAAGACTTCTATCATTTATCGGGGAAGTTTCTAGCTTACTTTATCACTCAATACAAAATTGTGTATCATCTCTAACACGTTACACGATTAAGTTATTATTCTTTTCTGTTTCGCAAGACTAATTCTATCCTTATCTTCAGATCGATAATTCAAAACACAAGTACATCTTATCACAAGGACCAAAAGATAACACTGTTAGTGACTTTTGGAAAATGGTGTGGGACCAGGGAATCTCAGTTATCGCTATGGTGACGCAATTAAGGTAGTTTTATCTCTACAATCAATGTTTTGTGTCTCAACAAACAAGCGATTGAAAAAAAGCACCTCCGTTACACCGCACCGGGAGATAAGCAAAGTAATTAATTAGTTGATTAACAATTTAACTAATTAGTATTACTATGCTAATAACTGATGTTTTTCAGAGAGGGTTACAAAGCGAAGTGTAGTCAGTACTGGCCCGACGAAGTGGGTGAGGAGCTCGAAACGGAAGAACTGAAAGTGACAATGAAGTTTGTGCGGGACGATGTTCTGTATGTTACTCGCAGTTTCCTTGTAATGGACAAGGAAACGGAACAATCTGTGAGTTTAGCACTGTGGTATCTATAAATCTGTGTTTAAAAAATCTGTATATATACAGATCTCCTTAATGCTTTAATGGGAAAAACCGGAGCTAGCATATATATATACATGCTATATTATATGTATATGCTAGCTCCAGTCTTTCCCATTAAAGAGATTTATCTTTCAATATCTGTATCATTGAATGGAGGATTCTGTTGTTGTTTTTGTTGTATACTGTTCTGCCATTTTCTGACAAATGTGCTTAAAGACCATTTTTGAAATTTTGAATTCTTTGACCCAAATTTCTTTTTTGAGTCAAGGACTCTCCCCGAAAACCATTAGAACCAATCGCTGGCCCACAGACACCACCATTTGAAACCGCTTGAAATGCCACAATTTGTCATTAATGTGTTAAAAGTGCTTCAGCTTGAAAACCTCTGATTTTTGAGTGACCTCCACTTTACTCAGAAAATGGCAGTGTTGCGATTCGAAGTGATGATGGGATCTATTGTTATAAGAGCATTATGTTGATTGCGCTTCTTTTGTGGTAACAATACTGGTAGTTCTTTTTATAGTAACTAGTAAATCGGGATGACAACAGTTTACGTCAACTATCGTAAAGCTAAATTTAGCTGCAGCCCATGCAAAAAAACCAATTACCGCTCCATGCCCGACAAACAAAGTTTTTCGCTCTGTTTCTAAAATGTATCTTTATTTCAGCTGGACGTGATACACTTACAGTTCACTAGTTGGCCTGATCACGGCGTGCCCAAGACCCCAAAAGACTTGTTAGGTTGGTGCCTCTGATGATTTAAGCACTTTTCGTTCTAATCTTGGTTTCTTTTTCACTGGTACGGGATATAAAATACTCCTTAGAGGATAAGTAAACGAGTTAAAAGTTTGTTAAATCAGCTTGGTAAACTTACTTTTATGACTAGTTCAGTCATGTAAAATGTTGGCTTTTCCTGTTTCCAATGAGCAAGTTTCTAAGAAACGTCCAATTGTAATAAAACTTTCGGACCAAAAGTTTATAACAATTTAACTTTCCACAGACTATTTATCGGAAGTGCAATCGTTGACGAAAGAAATGAAAAAGCCGAACATGGGGGAGGATTGTCCGATCTTGATACACTGTAGCGCGGGAGTGGGACGGAGCGGGGTTTTACTCATGATGGACATACTCACACGTGCTGTTGATAATAATGAGGTGGGGAATTAGTTCAGCATTCTTCACATACTTTCTTGACAATCTGACTATGTTCATCACAATAAAATTGACAATGACCAAACTCAGATGCCAATAAAATTCTAGGCGTACCTTGTTTTTATCGACTAACTTAAACCGATTTTCTTGCGATTTACTGACTTCAAACTGACTTCACAACCATAGGTCGTGGATATACCGGGATTACTGAAGGAAATCAGGGCCTGCAGAGCTTACACAGTCCAAACTGACCAACAATACATGTTCTGTTACATGGCCCTTCTCCACTTTATCAACACTGATAGCCTTGTCGTGTGACTGACCGACCGACAAATTTACCGACCAACTGACTGACTAAATGACGGTTAATAATAATTAATGTGACAGACCTGCATAAGCCTCCGATCTTACACATAACAGTTTACTTACTAGTGATAACCGTGAATATCCTTACATTTTACCAGACTAGAAAGTTTTCGCTCAACCGCGACTATAAATTCGTACGCTTCTTATAGCTCTTGATAACAACATTCCTGTATGCCCTGGTAACAAAATTCTTCTTTCAGCACGTGGACATTCCGGGAACACTGAGAAAACTTCGAACCAAAAGGTCGCACATAGTCCAGACTGAGGAACAATATCTCTTTATCTACACCGCCCTAATCGCCCATCTAGACCAATCCAGACTCATTTAATTAGCTTTTGGCTAGCCTTTGGCTAGCAAAGCATGATGGAAAATGTAGACAAATTTGCGAAATAACGATTTGTGAATTTTTACAATAACTACCTGAACTGCTAGTCCAGAAAATGTTTTTTTCGCCAATTTCTAACAATCTAAAATCTTTCCGTGATGCTTATAATCGAGAGACATCCTCTAATCCAAGTGATTTTCAGAGGGTAGAACATATTTGCAAACTCTTAAACTTAAAGTTATTGACACGCAGTAAATATCACAGAAATTTGTAAATACTGGGCGTGATCGATGATAAACCGTATAAGTATTCGAAAGTTCTGACATTGATTTCCCTCTATGATTTTCACATATGAAGTTTGAGAAGTAGGATATGACTGACGGTTTGTTTTAGTTTGCGATTGCATTTTGATTAACAGATATTGATAATCATATTATCGAATTACAATTTTAAAAAGAAGTGAATTGGATTGATCTGAAGGTTATGATTGTGCCTTCCATTCAATTTTCGTAATTTTATATGATGTTTTTACATTCATTAGATTCTTCAGTATTTTTTGCTCGCATGTATTAAAGATGAGTGATTGATTAATGATTACTCTTTACGATAATACGGTTTGATTATTGAGTTTGAATGATGAATGAGTTTATCCTTAAAATTTAATGATTATCGAACCGAATTATATCATCTCTTAAAGTGTTCAAATTATTTCAGATATAAACCCGTTGGCCGTTTTAAATCTTTAATTTTGGTTGAATGTAAACCATTTTAAATCATTATAAGCTTAAGCAACCAAATTATAATTATTTGCCGACGTTTTCTCTTGTACAAAATATTTGAGAGCCATCTATTATATCAAAAGTCAACTGTTCACATCCATTTCATATCATAAATTATCAGAGTGAATTTCAATGGTCCGTGAGTTTTCTACTTATCAGCGGTATAGGAATTACTGCGTCACGAGCGCGCCTTCCAATCAATTACAAATACATCCTGCATATTAATCGATATGAGGTGATTCTACTAGTTAGTAGTTCACATAGCTATGTGTATACGCGTACTGCGTGACGCGCTTGTTTCACTGCAAGCGAGAGGGCTCTGGTTAGAGCAATACTAGTAGTACTAGTAGTAGTTGTAGGTTTACAACCTACCAGGACGCGCGTCGAGTTGGACTCAATATATGGAACAGATATTTTACGAGTATCACCCGTTAATAGTAGTACTACATTAAATATATTTTCAGTCATTAAAACTGAAGATGTATAATGTATACATTATATACAGAATTCAGAGATAGGTCACGCTTCCTCATGCTCACCCTTTACAAAACCATGGTGAGAAGCAAAATCGAATACTGCTGCCCGGTGTGGAACCCCGACAAAATCAGCGATATAGAAGCTATTGAAAGCATCCAACGACACTACACTCGTCGAATCAGTGGCTGCCAGAACCTTGATTACTGGGAACGCCTGCAAAACCTGAATCTTCTCTCGTTGCACTTACAGAGACGCAGAGAACGATACATCATAATCCATTGTCATACCACATACGTTGTATGACCCGCCTTACCTGAGGACCCCAGGCTTTAATGTTGGTAAACAACATAGAGAACAATAGAGATTAGGCGGAATGACAGGCTGAGCGCGGCCCAGTAAGACCCGCCGCGCACTAAGTGCGCGGCGGGTCATACAACGTCAAACGTATATAGTATGACAACTTTATCGCTCCTAGTCCTACTAAATCGCTCGCCCAAATTTTAAGAAAATTCTTGTGAAAAGGCCCTTTAGGCATGAAAGTGATCTAGATCGGTGTATTTTTGATTTTTGGACGCTGATTCCGAATCACCCCCCATGACGTAGGGTTAAAATGCCTCTCTGGAGAGTTATGGGCAAAAAACCGTTTTGGTCACGTGACAGGCTAGTAAAACGTGAATTCGATTATTTAGGGTTCGGGTTAGGGTTTAATTTACTGGGCCGCGCTCAGCCTGTCATTCCGCCTAATCTCTATTCGTTTACCAACATTAAAGCCTGGGGTCCTCAGGTAAGGTTTAATTAGTTAGGGTTGTGGTTAAGAATATGGATAGCTTCGGGGTTATGGTTAGGGTTAGGGTTGGGATTAGGGTTTATGTTAAACCGTTTTGTACGGCTGCAAAACCAAAAAAACCAAAGTCACGTGAAATTTTTGGGCGAGCGATTTAGTAAGAGCCCAACTTTATACTAGGCAGTGCGCCATCGCGCGCTGACCATTGAATGGTTTTTAGCTTTTATTTCGGCCAGCACATTATTTCGGAAACAATCAAAAAGTTATAATACTTCCCATGTAACAATTTTGTTGAAATTTGATCAGCGTACGTAAAGTTAAACACTTATATTATGTTTTACTTAAGCTCTAACCAGAGCCCTCTCACTTGCAGTAGCGCGTCACGCAGTACGCGTATACACATGGCTATGTGAAATGTTTTACTGAACCTAAATTAGTAATAGTTTTGAGCAATTTAATTTCGATGGTCAGAATTTGAGTTATCAACGGATTTATGGCTCTTACTAAATCGCTCGCCCAAAAATTTCACGTGACTTTGGTTTTTTTGGTTTTGCAGCCGTACAAAACGGTTTTACATAAACCCTAATCCCAACCCTAACCCTAACCATAACCCCGAAGCTATCCATAATCTTAACCACAACCCTAACCCTAACCCGAGCCCTAAATAATCGAATTCACGTTTTACTAGCCTGTCACGTGACCAAAACGGTTTTTTGCCCATAACTCTCCAGAGCAGCATTTTAACCCTACGTCATGGGGGTGATTCGGAATCAGCGTCTAAAAATACATCGATCTGGATCACTTTCATGCCTAAAGGGCCTTTTCACACAAATTTTCTTAAAGTTTGGGCGAGCGATTTAGTAGGAGCGCGGATTTATACCTATTCTGTCATTTTTAGACCTCTTAATCAAGGCCAATCTCTCCCAACTAAATTAGGTTCGGTAGTTAAGTATGATTGGAAGGTTCTGACAAGTTTCCAGCATGATTCATGTTCAATGTTCAGGAACCGAAGATATTATAAAACAATACGACAAAAATCAACGAATTTCGTCAAATTACTGATTACGCGACTTTTACACTTGTAGGTTCACAATACAACCTACCAGGACGCGAGCCGAGTTGGACTCGTCGACGGTCTAATATATGGAACAGATATATCCCCCGTTAACTTTTACACCTAATTTTGTTCCAAAAGCCGCGCACCATCAAATATGGCACCTAGGCGAAACTCACTGATCATTCCAAAAAGGTGTAACAAATTTGGTACTGTAAAAATTCTCACAGTCTCTAAAAAACAATGAAACAAAAATTTTGAAAATCCGAGCAAGTTTATTTATCATTTATATCGTGCACCCCCTATTTATACGAAGTTTACTTAAAATGTTCCAATTTCAACATAGAAATATCGTGAAAATCCCGGTCCCTGCTGGGATTAAACTGATCCCGATTAAAAAACTTAGGCTCTTGGGCTTCGTCAGAGTTTTGTGGGTACTATACCGAAAAAAGCAGCCACGTACCTTTTACCGTTTTCTAACTTGACAATGTTTCAATCGTAGGCATCATGAAAAAGAGTCTGTTTTAGTTTAGATTTTAATACTACTCAGTACACACTAACGATTATTAATATAGATGCTATTAATATTATTTTGCCTGACGAGCCTGTCGCTCCCTAATCTAACTATACTAACAAGCTAGTTAACGAAAAACATCTAACTTAGCTCTGCAAATACATTATCTTTCGCCGCAAATTCACCGCGATTTTTCCTAGTTCGACTTGTCGCTAGTTTCTTTTGTCCTTGATAACTAAGGCCAGCGACGGTTAAGGTATTATACCACACTTTCTTCGCCCGTGATTCCGCTGTATAGATCATGTACAGCTCCTCATTTAACCCTCACACACGATTTTTCGAGCATTCGGCTGAGTAGACCGGGGGGCTGCATAGGTCCATCGGAACCCTTATGCCTTAGCAGAACGGCAACGCCGCCCACCCCATGGCTAGTGGCACAGGCGGGAATCGAACCCGCAACCTCGTGATTGAGCAGCATTTCACGAGTATAACTATAACTATAAGGCAGATCGACTATTATATGGACTAACAGTAACGAGTTGCGCCAATTTGATCCCATTAAGTTTCCTATACCCACAAAATAGCGTGTGGCAAGAACCTATCTAAATCTGTCTTTTTGCTTCAAAACATTCCAAATCAACATTCTTCCTGATCTGTCCCGTCGTCTAGTCCCGTCGCGATTTTCAATTGAATCAGGAAATCCTGACTCTCGATCCTAGTTATGAACTGAATTAGTAATTACATTTTGATTTTCTGTCGCAATACTGATCTGTTAATATACTGATCTCTTATTTGCTTTTTATAAGCACAAATTGTAGGTTTACAACAATTAACCTACCAGGACGCGCGCCGAGTTGGACAGATATTTTACGAGTATCACCCGTTAAAGCACAAAGCAATTTCCAAGAAATCCTGACTCTCCTAGCTGGAACTCATTTAACTGAATTAATTATTACTGTTTCTTTACTAGTACTACCCCTTTATAAAAAAAGTCTAAATCTTAGTCTTACACTTTGCCCTTGCCCGTACTATGCTTACCCTTTTTGATTTTACTTTTAGCCGACCCTGACTTACAGGGGTGAATGGTGATTTGAGGTATTTCGCATGATCACTTTTGGCGAAAAAAATGTAAGCGAAAAATTTGGTTTTTATGATTTTGCAGCCGAACAAAATGGTTTTACGTAAATTTGGTAGGTTTACAACCTACCAGGACGCGCGCTGAGTTGAACTCGTCGACGGTATATATATATGGAACGGTAATATATGGAACAAATATTTTACGAGTATCACCCGTTAACGTAAACCCTAATCCCAACCCTTATAACCCTAACCATAACCCCAAAGCTATTCATAACCCTAGCTCTATAAGTATAGGCCTAACCACAACCCTAACCTGAGCCCTAAACAATAGAATTCGTGTTTTACTAGCATGTCACGTGACCAAAACGGTTTTTTACCCATAACTCTCCAGTACAGAGAAGCATTTTTACCCTACGTCATGGCGGGTGATTCGGAATTAGCGTCCAAAAATAAACCGATTCGGCTGACTTTCATACTTAACAGGTGATACTCGTAAAATATTTGTTCCAAATATTAAACAGGACCGTCGACGAGTCAAACTCGGCGCACGTCCTGGTAGGTTATAAATTGTTGTAGACTGCTATCGACATTATTTATGGCCGAGGTCCAAGATTTTCAAAATCGTATACAAATGTTTTAAAAGCCTATTTTTCTGTTCGGACAATCTATTTTAAATGATTTCTAGAACGTATCCTGAACGTTCGGAGGAAAATTATTTTTAGACCCGATTTTCACTACGAGTACGTGGGTATGGTTTTCTGTGCAGGAAAGTTGTGAGCATAATTGACTTCCTATCCTCTATTTTCTTCGAATTTTAGGACCCAATAGATCAGTAATCTAAGAGTAAGAACACGTAAACGAAGTCAATATCCTGATATCCAGTATGTGATTTATTCCTTCCCACATACGGGATAACTTTCAGTACGGTATAATTTCCTGTTCGTGTTCTTATACGGGATTATACAGTCCCAGATCAGTGATCTAAGAACACATACAAGTTAAATGGGAGGCCGATTTCCAGGCCCCCCCCAACCCCCCCCACCTACAACATTCACCTATGACCTAACCATGTGCTTTCGCGCCTCTGCGGGCGCGCTTGTTTCACAAGTTTTACCGCTGTGAGGCGGGCGCGCGCCACTGCAAGCGCAAGGGCTCTGAACAGCGAGTCTCTTAACTTTATTTTTGCACTATAGCATAGACCTGTAACATAATTACAATCCCTCCTTATTTTCTAAGAACCTTATTTTTCCCAAACTTTTCGGTGGCTAAACGTACGTGCGAGGGTAGCGGGGCGGTCGTTTCGCCACTGTGATCCTCGGCCTCACTGTTCTTACTTTTTATGATTTGCACGGGTTATAATAACCTACTTTGTTTGTAACTTAAAATTATGGACTTTTCACAATTAGGGACGACCTAAAATATGGCAGACCCATCTTCTGAGCCTACATCTACCTTGGATACAACTCGAAGAAAGCTAATAACATTCGTCTGCATTTGCGCTTTTCAAACGGTGACATTCCTCAACTTCAACCTTCCTTACAGCTTCCTGCCGCTATACAACGAAGAGCGGAACATAACCACTGCATGGACTGGCGTTATTCTGGGTGGTTCCCCCATTGGCTTGATATTTGGCCCCATATTCCTCGCCACCTTCCTCTTGACCAAGTTTACTACACCTGTGGTGATGTCTGTCTCTGCCGCCTGTCTTGGTGTCCTCACCATGCTTTTCTCCCTTCTGGATTTTGTTCATGACTTGAATGTTTTCAAGTTTCTAGCGGTGCTGGATCGCTTCCTGATTGGAATGTTAGGCGGCTGTATCAACACCATCATATTTGCAGCTCTACTGGCCATCTACCCTAATAAAGTTGGTCTTGTTACAGCTATTGGGGAGGCAGTGCTGAATGGCGCGGTGGCTTTTGCTCCTTTCATCGGGGCTGTGCTCTATTCATCTAGCGGATTGAAATTAGCCTTTATTGTTCCTGGAGCTCTAGTGTTGGTAAGCGCAGTTCCTGCATTATTTTTCCCTAATATCAGCAACAAGGATCACGAAAATGAACAAGAAAATGAAGAAGCGAACCTTGCTACTAAAAACTGGTCCTCATTTCTAGATCCTTGGCTATTGTTCCCTCTTTGGCATTTGACATTTGGCCAGATTCTCATGACCTACCACATGCCCCTGCTCTCAGTGTACGCAGAGCACATGTTCGGGGCTGACGTGGTCTGGTCGGGAACAGTACAACTTGTCAGCACAGCTGTTGTCTGCATTTCATCCCCACTGTTAGGCATGCTCATTGACAAGTTCGGGCCCTGTAAAATGATGCTAGCCTCATGTGTGAGCCTGCCAGTTGTGTATGTCTGTGTGGGTCCCCTCCCACTCCTCTCCTTCATCTCTCCTTCCAGAACACAACTCATCACCTCCCTCGCTTTCCTCGGACTTGCTGTTCCCATGGCCTGTATCTCTGCACTCCCGGTCATGTTTGACGTGTACCGCGCTAAAAACCATGGTAATCTCCCCACTTGGGTTGCTAACTTTTTGGTTTCCCTGTACTGTGCTGCCTTCCCTGTTGGCATCTTCATCGGGACAACTGTGTCAGGATTCGTTGTTCCATACGCTTCATTTGGCTGGTCGACTGGGATACTAGGCTTGATATTTATTGTGGAGTCCCTTATTTGTACCATCTACTGCTTCAAGGTTATGCATATGCACATGATGGACAAGATAACAGAGAAAACTGAAAAAGGAGCAACTGTTTTTTCCAGAGAAAACGGTGATGTGTAAGAAAATCGGTAAGAATGAACATTAAGTTTTAATATCAAAATATTATTTTATAACTTTAATATTTTTTCGAAAGTGAGTGCTCTCAAAAATAATTTTTAATGTATCAAATCTTATTGTTTTTATTGTATACTTTCTTAGCTTTTGGTGTATGATTGTCCCCTTAAGCACATGTCATTAATTGTTGTAGACTGCTATCGACATTATTTATGGCCGAGGTCCAAGATTTTCAAAATCGTATACAAATATTTTAAAGGCCTATTTTTCTGTTCGGACAATCTATTTTAAATGATCTCTAGAACGTATCCTGAACGTTCGGAGGAAAATTATTTTTAGACCCGATTTTCACTACGAGTACGTGGGTATGGTTTTCTGTACAGGAAAGTTGTGAGCATAATTGACTTCCTATCCTACATTTGCTTCGAATTTTCGGACCCAATAGATCAGTAATCTAAGAGTAAGAACACGTACAAGAAGTTAAAATCCTGATATCCAGTATGTGATTTATTCCTGCCCACATACGGGATAACTTTCAATACGGTATAATTTCCTGTTCGTGTTCTTATACGGGATTATACAGTCCAAGATCAGTGATCTAAGAACACATACAAGTTAAATGGGAGGCCGACTTCCAGGACCGCCCCCCCCCCCCCCCCCTAACTTTTTGGTTTCCCTGTACTGTGCTGCCTTCCCTGTTGGCATCTTCATCGGGACATTTTTTACGTTTCTTATTTCAGATTCAATAGAGTTTTTGAAATTTACTTATTTAATGTCATTCTTAGGATATCATGATTGTAAAGGTTAATATGACCGACAGTTGACTGTTGAGATCCCGTATGTGTTTTACTGACATTTGTCATGGCTAACTAATGTATATACAGGGGGGGGGGGGGGGTACACAAACGTTAGCTTTTATAACTCAGTCACTGAGTCCACGATTGAAATAATTCTTTCTGGTATGACTTACTATCACCACTTATTCGAGGAATATTTCAAATCAAAGAATATGCATTGATTTGATAGTTTGAATAATCGGATTGAGCCAAATTGTATAGAATTGTGTTTGGCGATTCAAATTCTAGCTTCTCGGAGTCGGATGACCGAGATATGAAGCATAACGAGGTTATTCATCACGTGTGATCAGATGATTAGGTTGGCACTATGGAAATCGACAGGGAGCCCAATTACGGTGTCGTAGTACGCAATCACATGATTGCTCAATAAATTTTGCTAACGAGATAAACAAATTGCTTGATAACTTCGTCATTTTAAATCCGTTTGGTGCCATCTTTTCATATCAAATTCCGGATTTAATTACTTATTTCAATATGTTACAATGAATTTTCTAGCATGTTCGCAAACACGAGTATAAGCAATTAAATTTTTGATTGGGCGTCGCCCGTAAAAATCGAATTTTAAAAGTAAGTAAATGATGCAAATATTTTAATTTGGTTTAGCTAGTTCGAATCCTAACTGTATGGCAATGTAATTTTACTTTTCCCTCAGATCTAACATTTCCCTGGTTGTGTGTTATGAACTTTCAAACACCGTGAACAGGTCGAAGAGACCGGATGACCATCTCATGCTCAAGATACCAAAGACTAAAAAGTCCAAAGTTGATGACGTTTCTCAAGCCATGCACCGCGGTTGCATGGAACTCTCTTCCGCTGATGTTGAGATGTATTACTGATACTAACTGTTTCAAACGAATGTTAAAGAACCATTTATATAATCAGTTTTGATGTCGTTTCTTTCTATTGTCTTCACTTTGCATTTGCAAGACACCTTGGCTTTTCTTTTTTGCCGCACTCCATTTTATGTCTTGATCTCTACCTTTCTAGGATCTGTTTCTTTCTTGAATGATTATGTCACTGTACTAACCTTTATTATACCTGCATGTATTGTATTGTTTTTGCTTCAATTGATGTACAATATTGGTTCACAATAAAAGATGTTTTAATTTAGTCTTTGCCTTATAGTTGATAATGAGTTATAATTTTGTTCAATTTTACACATTTGCTTACATCACCCGCACAGTCAGCCGCTCTGACATGGTTAACTAGTAACCAGCTTCCTTGTGCTGTTGGTTAATCATTTCATTTCATTTCATTTCATTTCATTTCATTTCATTTCATTTCATTTCATTTCATTTCATTTCATTTCATTTCATTTCATTTCATTTCATTTCATTTCATTTCATTTCATTTCATTTCATTTCATTTCATTTCATTTCATTTCATTTCATTTCATTTCATTTCATTTCATTTCATTTCATTTCATTTCATTTCATTTCATTTCATTTCATTTCATTTCATTTCATTTCATTTCATTTCATTTCATTTCATTTCATTTCATTTCATTTCATTTCATTTCATTTCATTTCATTTCATTTCATTTCATTTCATTTCATTTCATTTCATTTCATTTCATTTCATTTCATTTCATTTCATTTCATTTCATTTCATTTCATTTCATTTCATTTCATTTCATTTCATTTCATTTCATTTCATTTCATTTCATTTCATTTCATTTCATTTCATTTCATTTCATTTCATTTCATTTCATTTCATTTCATTTCATTTCATTTCATTTCATTTCATTTCATTTCATTTCATTTCATTTCATTTCATTTCATTTCATTTCATTTCATTTCATTTCATTTCATTTCATTTCATTTCATTTCATTTCATTTCATTTCATTTCATTTCATTTCATTTCATTTCATTTCATTTCATTTCATTTCATTTCATTTCATTTCATTTCATTTCATTTCATTTCATTTCATTTCATTTCATTTCATTTCATTTCATTTCATTTCATTTCATTTCATTTCATTTCATTTCATTTCATTTCATTTCATTTCATTTCATTTCATTTCATTTACTGGGCGAAAAGCTCTTCAAATCTGTCCAAATCTTGTTTAGAAATTTTCAAGTTTAAAAATAAAAAATGGGACAGAATTTGGAAAATCAAAATTTTCGTTTATAGTTTTGTAAAGCTTTCTCATTTCTGTAATAGAAATATATAAAGTTCTTCCGACCGGAATCAAATTATTGTCAAATTATTGTCTACTGTAAATGTAATTTGGTATACGTTGTATGACCCGCCGCGCGGCACACGAGTGCGCGGCTCCTCCTGTATCGTAGAAACTCCCCATAGTGAAACGACTTCATCTAACCATGTGCTTTCGCGCCGCTGCGGGCGCGCTTGTTTCACAAGTCAAGAAATCACGTGACCTCAGACCCAATTAATTGGGTTCTGGCCTGGTTAGCCCCCTGTCACCCGATCTTGAGGTGACGTACGACACCTCGTTGAACAAATCAATTAACCTCCCCAGGTAAGCCCGCAGCGGTGCGAAAGCACATGGTTCGGTGAAAGTGCGGCTCAATAGTGCATTGCGTTACAATTAATGAAATGACCGTTTGCTATAACTAATTTGACAAATAATATTTACTTATTACTTATTACTCGTCTAATTATTTCTTCGAAGTATCGCGCGCCGCTTTCTTCTCGAAATGTTACTAGCCCGAGACTAGGTAAGTGCTACGCGAAGTAGCGCGCGCAGGGTTAGTCCATTAACAATAGACAATAACTAATGCATAATGCCGCTCCCACTAAATCGCTCGCCCAAATTTTAAGAAAATTCTTGTGAAAAGGCCCTGACATGATATGATCGAGGGTATAAAAGTAATCTATATTGGTGTATTTTAGGACGCTGATTCCAAATCTCCACCCATGACGTACGGTAAAAATGCTTCCCTCGAGAGTTATGAGCAAAAACCTTATCACTTATGTTTATAACTTGGGACCATACACAATACGCAAGCTATTATGTTGTAGCGTATATTGTATAGCTCTAACCAGTGCCCTCTCGCTTGCAGAGAGGGCTCTGGTTACGCGTATACACATGGCTATGTAAATATATTGTATATATATATATATATATAATATATATGATATGCACGTCATTAATTAAATTAAATTGACGATGTCAATTCATCGCAGCTCGGCGAGGCTCAGTAGCGCATTTCGCCGATCTAGCGAGATGCGGCCTAGTAGTGCATATCACGCAAAAATAGTGAATTTATTAAATTTTACCTGGGGACCCCAGGCTATTATGTTCATAAACATTAATAAAGATTTGGCGAAATGACAGGCTGAGCGCGGCCCAGTAAATTAAATTGTGAAGTTTGGCTGGTCCAGCAAATAAGTTGCCAATATAGTGATATATGAAATTTCTCGATTGCTTGCAATGCTGTACTGGTTAATGTTTTAGTTTGCCTTGCTAGTTCTATGTTTTAGTCTATTACTCGTTTTACCTGAAGTAAAACATATAAATGTGAAATGATACGCAAGTTTTTTCTATGTAGAAGTACATAATATATGTATATACATGTACAAGAGAGCAGGTCAGTCAAACAATATATACATTCAATAAATATAAATGAAGCGATGCAATCATAAATCATGAGGAATAAATCTGAGTTTTTGAAGGGTTGTTTTTATATAGAATGATTGTGACAATTATGTGTATATTGTTTGAATAATTTTTACAAAAATAAATCTGTTGAAAAAAATTCTTCATCTCATTTATCCTTCGTAACTATCTTCCTCCGTGATCAGGTTGAAAGACACACTAGATATAAGAGCGATCAATGCGTTTTTCGCCTTCCTACGTACACCTCTTACTGCAACTACCACACTCCTCGTGATGTCCATGCTCATGCGTGTCCCTATGTTTCACATCACCTAATTGTAGTCTCCCTTCGTCTTGGTGGCTATGATCTCCTTATGAAACGCTTGGCGTTGTAGTGGCAAATACTTAGGGGACGAATCAG